TACTTTCTTTCCTGGGCTGTAGATTAAGATTCCAAAATTGTAATTTTATAAAAACTAAAAAGAAAAATTTCAATTATACATCATTTAAAATGTTATCCATAACAAAAATAAAGGAAAAATTTTCGGAAATTTTGAAATTTTTTCCTGCTAATTTTCTTTTTTAATTGTTTAAACAGCAAAGTATGTGAAAAATTATCATTAAGCTTGCGTATAACTTGCAAGTACACTTAGAAAGTTATATAATAAACTGGATGTAAATAGCGCCCATGTTTGGATTGTAACAAAGTTAGGTTGCTTATGTGCTAATACATATATATATTTTTTTTAATTTTTTCTTTCCTTTTTCTTCCCAATATTTGAAAAGTAGTAACGACATGTTTTACTTATTGTTGTGTGAATACCGGAGACATGTTGCATATATTGCTTAGTACGGATATGCAAATCACATTAAATACAATTTCATTGTTGCGCTTACTTAGCAATTAATCTCTTTTCAGTTTTATCTTAAAATCGTTATCAACCTTATTGAATCGATAAATAAATCTTATAAGATAATATTTTATATTTATTTGTTGCGTTCATTATCAGATAATGGGAGATACGATTTTTATTAATCCGTTTGCAACATAAGCCGCCGCGATTAAGTTTTTTATTCCTATCACTGTTTAATACCAACCAAGTAGACGTTGTATGGTCTCTGAAGCTTCTCTTTGGGCGCTGCAAGCGTTTTTATAAAAAAATGATACGAGCAAAAAGCCAATTCACCATAGACCTGGTCCCACATTATGTTGGATTGTCGCCGAGTCCTTCGACCGTTTTCGCTCATTTTCAAAAGTATAGCGAACTTTCAATTTTTAGGCCAAATTGAAAACCAATACCTGCACGTTTGCGACCAAGGGAATGTTTACCACAGCTAGACGGACAGACAGACACTTTGGAATTCCATGCTGATGCAGAATGTATACGATGTGATACGATATACTCTGAGGCGCTCTTCTGGATGTTGCAGACGTTTTGACAAAACGAATATATTGCTCATCCTACGGTGATGGGTATAAAAATATTTCTTATATGAAAGATGCAAAAGAATTGTAGATGCTACGTTTATTCGTCTATACTACATTTGCTGTTCATTGATGTTCTCGCGGTTGTCACAAACAGGAACGGAAACATGTAATCTTCGATGTGTTTAATGCAAATATGTTTCTCTCCTGTTGGACAATGCAAGACAAGTAAGCAAATTATGTTCGGTCGCGATCGAATCTTTTATACCCAATATCGTTATTCTAAAAATTACTAAAGAGAAAGACGGAGAACTAAATTTTCATATTCTATAATGAATGGATGGATTGACGCGATTAATTTATTCGGTTTTCAGAATAAAAGTAAAAATTTATATTGCGTATGGATTGTACCTTGAGTAGCAAGCAAAAACCACGGAATGCAAAAATTTTCACAGTTTTTGTTGCATAGACTTGTGGGCTTTGCAGACGTGTCTTTTGATCGATTTGGGTCATTTTAAAGTCCTCTTGCAAATTTGTAGGCGTTGCCTTCAGACAGATACTACACAGTCGGCCAGACGCCACATGGGCATGCTTCCGCATTTCGAACTGACCAAGAATTTATATACTTTATGGGGTTCTTGAAGCTTGCTTGTGCGCATTATAAAGGGAGGGGAAACATTCTAGTTTGATACACTATAATATTGGACAGACCTGGTCAATTTTGCGGATTATTGTGCATATAATATAACATTACCCACAAAACATATCTTCAAATTTTCGTAGGTTTATCTGCTGTAGTGTATAAGTAAGTATCAAAAAATCAAATTCCTACTGCTTTGGAAAACAGAGAGGTTCTCAGTTTACGTGGCATTGTAGGCGTGTCTTTCGACCGATTTGAGCCATATTTAATAACAACCTACGCGCAAAAACTGCCATTGTTGCCGCCAAATTGGAAGTCAATAGCTCGAATTTTGGGGATGGACGGATAGAGGGGGCAGGCTTAAATCGATTTAGCATTTGATGCTGTTTAGGAATATATATATACTTCGGAAAGTCTCTGAACCTTCCTTCGGACCTTCCTTCTAATTATAGCCTACATGCCTCGATGATGGACAGAAAATGATTTCTTAAATGTTTATTCGATACAACGCATCTTGAAGTAGTGTTAGTTTCTGAAGATTCGCTACAATTTTTTATACGTTTTGAATCATTCCATTAATATTTAAAGTGCATATATATATATGTGTGCGTGTGTGTGTGTGTTTGAGCACAATATATTTAAATATTTCTTCATAATTTGCAACGAAAACAACGCGATGTTGACATCTTCAGCGAACCGTGGCACTTAAGCATATTATCTTATCACGCAATAGTTAACATTTTAAAATTACGTATACGCACCATTCCACTTAAAACGCAATGAATGCTCTAAATAGAGCGAGAGAGTGTATATATATATATATATATATATGGGAGAGTTAGAAATTTACTCAAATATATACTGTTAAATTATAAAAGAATGACAAGAGCAATAACAACAACAACAGTAAAAAAACGAATAAACTCTCTGTTAACATTTCATTATTATCGCAATTGTTGTTGCAAATGTTAAAATCAATGCGTGTTGTTGGCTTTAAAAGTTTGTTGTTGATTAATCAGTAAGTAAGTTGGTTGGTCTTATTTTGTTTGGTTTTTTTTTTTTTTGTTTTTTTGCTGGCGTAAAAAAATGTAAACCAAAAATATTGCTGCAATCTCAAACTATTTGTGTGTTACTTTGCGGTTTATACACAACAGCACACAATTTTATCAGTAAAATAAGTAACCAACATATAACATGAGAGCTTCACACACTAGACAAACGGGCACAACATTAAACTAAGCTTAGCCTCGAACAACCGCTATCACCGCGCCAGCCATCAACCAGCCAACATTCATTCATGTACACGATTTAAGCCCGTTGCATTTGTTTGATGGAGATACAAAATAATTACAACAACAACAACAACAACAACAATTGTATGGATATGTCTTAAAAGCAGACTACAATATCATCCATATATAAAACGTACGGAAAACCATGTTTGGTTATCAGTCACATTTTGGCAAACAACTCTTATTCAATAAACAAACTCAAATATTTTGTCTCCTCGTCTCACATAGCTAAATAAATAAATTCATATAAATTTGTATTTCATATCTATATCGACGGAAAATTTATATATAAATTCAAAATTTCACGCTTTCATATACACATATATACGGGCAGTAACTTGATATTAAATATGATCAGTTTTAAAGTACTTGTAAGTGTTAAGAGAAATCTTTTAAAAGTGCATTGAAAGGCTCTTTATTTATATACAAAAAAAAAAAAAAAATTCTATAATAATTGATAAAATGTTAACAAATAAAAAAAAAAAAAAGTAACAATAACAATTATCATAAAAGGAAATGAATATTAAAATTAATATCTTCAGAAAACATATTGGGAAACGGTTTTAAGTGCTTACTCATCACTCGCAATAAAAGAGAAAGAGTCACGTTTTATGTCTTATATGATATAAACAAGGTTGGCTGGTTCCGTGTTTATGTGCTGGGAATTGAAGAATCAAAAACGAACTCTAATTGCTGCAAAATAGTAATAGAGATTGTAAATCATGTACTGAAAGACGAATATTGTGTTCATGAGAAGTTCATGGAAGGACCTGCAGCCGTTGATTTTCTAACTTTCATTAACGTAATCTTCAGGAATCCGTTAAAAATTTAAAGTAAAATTTCTTCGTTGTCTTTGAGGAAAAAAATTCAGAAACGATAGATGAATAGAATTTATGAACATCAGTCTAAAAAGTACTGAGCTCAAGGACAGAAATAGGCTTAGAGCTAAATGTCTTAATAAACATATGTGTGCAATTGATAGATGAAACAAACCGGATAAAAAATCTGCAAAGAAGCTAATTTTCATGCACCGTACATTTTGTCAATCACTGAATTATTTTCACTGAATATATTAATTAATTGTTGCAAGTCAAGGCAGTGTTGCCTTAGACTTTAGGGTTTCAATTTTGCATCTAGAGTAGAGTTTTCAAACTTAACTTTTGTAGTTCACACACTTTTCCACAATTGCTAAGTTTGTCCGTCAGTCTGTCCGATCATAATTTTTGATATATTGTAATGAAATTTGGTGCATTCACCTTTTCTCAGACTTCTCATAAAACGCCTTATTTTAAAAAGTCGTTACATAAAATATATAGAGCAGTGGTGAGCCATGGCGCGCTATAGTTTCTTTACCTGGTTTGTCATCTTTTTATATATGACAAAATAATCAAGTAGAAGGATTATATTCGCTTTAATATATTAACTATCTGAAGCATCCTTACTTTGAACTTTTCTGACCATCATCGTGCCTGCGTGTATAGACAGAGCCTGACCGGCACTCATGTCAAAAAAAAAAAAGGAAAACGATCTAAACTTTTAATCCATTTTATGTTTTTATCTGCGCAAGAGGAAATTCTAACATTTTCGGATGACTTTCAGTTCTTTAGGTTTTCTACAGCTAACTCAATCCAAAATCTTACTAACGGCTTTAAAAGCAAATGTCTAAGGGATTTTCTGCGTTCATTTCCCAACTTTTAACTTTTTCTTGGTGAAGTAATATCTTCAGTCCTTACGTAAAAGTGTGCTGACCGCATTGCACCTCTCCTTAAATAGAGTAAGAAAATCATTAACATCCCCCTTCGCAGCTTATAAAATACTAGAAGTTCAACCATCGCTGCGGAACATTTCAACTAATATAATTTGCTCCATAAACGGCCGCTATAGGGGAAAATGCAGAATAACATCATTTTTCAGCATAAAATCGCTCTGTTTTGAAATTATTGCGGGGAATGGTCGGCAGCTGGAAAATTTCGGATTAGCTTGAAAAGTGTTGCTTCTACTCTTCTTCGTCGAAAACAACAATTTGTTAATGGTTTACTAATTTTAAGGAAGAGTTTGCAAGGGTAATGGCTTCGCGTTACGCAATTAACGCCCAAATGGTTACACAAGTACAAATTAATAGATTCCTGAAAATTATCCTCAATAATTGGAAAATGAAATTGCAAAAAATAGCTGACATCCTAAAGATATCTGTAGACAATGTATTCAATTGTTGTTGTTTTCGCATTGTATACTGGGCTTACTCACAGTAGAGCAAGCTACAAAGGCAAAATTGCAAGACTTGAAGTTTGAATTGCTGTTTGACTAGCGTAGCAAAACATGCTTTAGGGGTGATCCCCAATCGTTGTAGAAAAAAGACCTAGACATTTTTTTTGTAATATGACCAATCACTCAGGATATGTCTCCTATAGGTTTGACATAAAGATAGTCAGAAAGAAGAATTTATTGACCAGTGTATTATCTACGAGAGCGACGCGGTTAAATCAGTCTTGAGGACGACTATACTGACAAATAAAATAGAATTTGGCAAAAAAAGTGGTTCCTTTACCTCGTCCCGGAATTTATTGATCGATGTATTCGATAATGAAAGATAGTCAAAAACTTTTGGGAGCATTTTTTGCGATAAAATATTATACATGTAGATAGGTAGATGAATACACACACACACACACGCGCATATATATATATATACATATATATCTATTTTTACTTTGTTTATATATATGTGCGCGTACGGCTTCACATGCTCAATATGCTCATTCCCACCTCTATTGCAGACCACGATAGGTATAATATTTTTGACAGCCATTTTCACGCTTGACTTGACCTCCGGCTGCGGCTGGTCAGAAGCTCATACTTTTAGGACTATGATGGTTTCTGCTAGACATTTAGCAAATTGTTCATTTCAGTATTCTACTTATCCAAAATCGATCGAGCACCAACAGCTTTCAAGTTTTGTCAAAATTTAATACAGCCCGTGTTCACATGCTATTGTGTGTCAAACCGCATCAATGTACCGCAATTCATGAAAATATCTCAGAAATTGCGACCAGCAGGTCGAATGCAAAAAAAACGAGATGGACAGACGGACAGACAAGCTTAAATTGATTGAGAAAGCGGCTCCCAATCGGCCGGAATAATAAAAAGTGGGCCCATTTCAAGACCTTCTGGGGGTTGCATGCGTACGCACAAACTTAATACATCCTTGTACCTATCACAAGCAGTTCCGGTTCATATATTCCTTTTTCATATTGAGAGGTTTCACAAACAGGCAAAAGTAACGACAACGAGGAAATGTATGTGAATGGAGCGGCTGAAAACATTGCAATGTTCAAGGATAAGCGAGACTATCATCTTTACAAAGACAAGCGAATGTGAAGCGAATGATAAGTTTTGCTAATTTTGTCAATCCCTATAAGAAACCCAGTTAGCAATTTCTAAACTAACTAAACTAACATTCAAGAAAACAAATCGAATGTATTGTGCTATGCAGTAGGGAAAAAAGTAATGACACGCATTGGGAACGGGGAGGAATGCATTATATGTCATACATACATTTATAAAATGAAATATAAATGAAATGAATTTCCTTTTCTTTGCTCTCTCTCTCTCACACATATATGTTTTGTTTTGTTTCGTTATTTGTCGTTTTCCAGGTAATCTTGGCAGTTGTTATTGCCGTGGCGTACGCTTCTCCCAAACCGGGCTATTATGGCAAACAGTAAGTTATGTTACAATTATATAATTTTTAAAAGTATATCAACTTGTTATTAAAATTATAAATATGTAAGTGAATGTTGTTGATTTTATTGTGTCGTTTGTCTTGCATTTAAGTCCCTCCAACACACTTTTTATAATAAATATACATATACATATATTTACCCCAGAGACATGAAAGTAGAAGTTGTCGAGCAACATGAACTTAATTACCGGTTAATAGAGTGAAATCGAAATCGCAAATTACTTTTATTTTCATTTTATTATATTTTATTTTATTTATTTATTTTTTTTTTTTTCTAACTTTGATTTCTTTTAATATGAATTTTTAATAAGAATTGCATTTTGTGTTATATAACGTATATATATATATACTTGCATATACCCACAAGCACAAGCATAAGTATAAGCACAAGCATTACAAACGTGTGTTAGATATGTACACTTAAAATTAAAAAGAAGAAAGGGAGCCAACAATGCACGTCACTCTTGCTTCGACAATCAATATGAATGAACGATAAGACAAATCACAAATAGTTTGCGTATTTCTGTTGTTGTTGTTGTTGCTTTTCCAATTGCTATTACTGTTACTAATGCTATTATCATATAATTATGTATTCATTTGCCTTTTATAGATTATTTTGTATTGCAAACGAACAAACATTAGAGAGAATTACCTGAAGAATATTAAATAATTGCGATCAGACTGTATATACTAATGCATGCAATATTAACATTTACATATATATATATGCTTACAAATTAATTATAAAAATTTACAACAACAAGTGTGACATGATTATTTCGTATTTTGTTGGTTCACATTGTAAATCACCGCCAGCCAATACGAACACAAGAAGTGAATAAAAAATAATTTCACTTTCGTTTTCTTGCATTCAAATCTAAGCAAGCGGTTTATAAGCGCATACATATATTTTTCCTATATAACGAACACATGCACATAGACACTTGTCAAAATCAATATGTGTAAGTATGTATGAATGGTATGTATTTTTGTTTTTAAATATAGTATAAATTTTTTTTTGGATTATGCATTAGCGATATAGCATGTAGTACGGTATGTGTGGATGATGGATTTGATAAATAATTTTTTTGTCTTTGTTATGCCAATTTATTGCGATTGTTTTTTTGTTTTTTCTTCCGATTGTTTTTTCTATCATTTGTTTTTTTCTTTTAAAATATAGTGAACATCATACCATACACGTTCCATATAATATTCACACCATACATCATCATCATGTACAAAAGGTGCCAGTTTATAAACATATTATTAAAGAAGTTCCCGTAATTAAGCAGGTAGTTAAAGAAGTGCCTGTCGTTAAGGAGATAGTCAAAGAAGTTCCGGTGGTCAAAGAAGTGCACGTTCCAATCATTAAAGAAGTTCATGTACCTGTACATCATGTTCATCACGAAGATCATGTTGTGCATAAAGATTTCTCCTCGAGTGGCTGGTATTAGAATTTTAAGAAGAATACCTTTACCTTACCGATCTTGTCCGATTATCTTTAAATTCCTTTTTTTCTCTTCACATTTTTTTAGTCACAATGTACATAATTAGGAACTTTTCTCTTATTTTTGTTTTAATTTTTTTTTTTTTAATTATATTGTAAAATTATTATTATTTTACTTCTCAGTTAGTTTTTTTTTTTTATAAAATCATGTACTATATAGATTTGTAAATAAATGTGTGTGTAGGATTTATTATGCTTATGAATAAAATAGTATATATGTATATGTAAAAGGAAAAAAAAAAAATAAATAAATGTAAAACGCGAAAGTTAATTAATCAGATTGAATTTTAATTTATAGGAAATGCAAAAGAAATGTTTTGTCCACGATATTTCCTCAAGGGGTTTTGTTGATCTTGACCGCTCAGCAAAGCCATTAATTACATTTGTGCTTTGATTACTTTTTATGAATGCCGCTTAGCTTTAAGATAATTTGAGATCATTTCAGGTCAAATAAATGTTTAGCAACACAACATAAGCACAACAACATAGTTTTAGTTGATAATTCGAACAAACTTTTTCTTCTTCTACATTTTCATACACTAGTTAAAGCAAAAATTTGCTGCATGTTTTATACCATACTTGCGACTTGCGTTACAGGGTCGTGTGTTAAGTTAGTGCGAACGTACGTAACACGCAGAAGGGCAGATTCAGAATCGTAATCTGAATTGATCTAAGCCCGTCTGTCCACCTGTCCGTCTAAACTCTCTGTCCATGTAAACTTGTTTTGAACCTAAAGCAACGCAATTGTTGAGATATTTTGATTTTTGATAGAGTCATAGTTACAGAGCCGAGTAGACAAGACTACCAAATCTCAGCGCAGTTTGACCATACTTGATAAATACAGCACAGGACTTGTCGAATGGACCACACATTAGTCTACGGCCATCAGCACAATATGGCTTGATACGTTTAATATTATCAACGTTACGCCTCTCTACGCTCACTTGCTGGGAAAAAATCGCAAACTTTTGCAATCACTCCATATACTCGACGACTTCCAAAGTTGGCAATAATGATGCGAATTGGTCCACAAGTGAATGGACAATGAGATATCGAAACGATCGGAGGTACGGGAAAGGATCGAGTTTAGTGAAAGAGTGGAAGGATAGATAAGCTGATTAATTTAATGTATGCGCAGACGGATAAACACGCACGTAGTAGTTGTAGGCACACAAACGCAAATTTGTTGGATAAAAATGCAAGTAAAAACAATTCAACACATTATAGTGTTATACGGGAAGTGATTGAAAAAGTGGTCTGATCCGCATCATTTTCAATAGCATTCGGCATTTGTCCTGTTTTGGGATCTGTATACTAAATTTCATCAATATATCTGAAAAATTGCTGCCTGTAGATTGAAACCAAAAATCTAAAGTGAAATCAGACAGTGATTCTGAATCGATCGGTATAAGAAAACGTGGGTCTGTCTCAGGTTCTCGTACCATAAGTAGTCCAGGTGAATAATGAATGCATGTATACTTGGATGGAGGACGAGAAGACTCAAAATTCGTTTTATGTCAAACACATATATACATTTTGAGGAGTCTTATGATGTGTCATGAATTGTATCCATGTCACTCGAGCATTTCAGTGAATGTTCTTACTTTGAAATCTTAGAAACAGCTTCCGAATCTCAACTTGATAATGTACGTAGGGACAGTTCGTAGGTATTTCAAGATGATTCTCTGCCTTTACACGAAGCCCTGACGATACTAAACTGGATGCTCAAAAAGTTTTTATGACATCACATCATCTCAAACTTCTTCCCGTGCGGTACGTTGGACTTATTATTGAAATAGTTTTGATTACACAATCAACACTAATTACTAAGTAGCGGAATTTTTTTTTTTGCTTTATTAAATTAACAGATTAAAATTATAAATAATTTGAAACAATAAGACTTTTACAAGAAACGATAAAAATAACAAAAGCTCGTACATACCTACATACATTCAAAAGTCATAATTAAAGATATCTATGACTAACACAACAAAACATACAAGACAAAAAAAAAAAAAAAAAAAAAAGTGAGTTTTTAAGGAACCGCGTACGTAATAGCTATTAAGAAAACTGACATAACTGGTTAACGAAGAGCATGGTTAACTAGTGTACCATAAACGTAGTGAACCAGAATACGTGAATATGTTATTGTTTTAATGATGTTGTTATGCACACACAAATGACAACAACAATTTTTTACAACTACTCGTATTAAAAAGATTGAAATTCTTGCTAGGTAAATATGTTGGACTTGACCTTCGGGCCATAAAATCGGTTGCAAACAGTTTTCTAGAAGTAACTCTAACGCAATCATTGAACAACTTTTACTTTTTTTTTTTTCGCCAACAATTACGCAAAAAAATCTTAAGGTTCCGCATAACACTAATACATGGACTTAAAAAAAAAAATAAAAAAAAATAACGTAAACCACATATCATATAAACGTCTACCTGTTAGTTACAAGTCAAGTCAGTTAAGTGGGAGTTTTGTGTTCTTGAATTTTATACCTGAGGTCATTCCTATGCATTACTATACATATAAGCAAACAAAAAGTGATTTCTTTTTTTAATTATTTTAATTTATTGCATTTTTTATTAAAAAAAATATTTTCTTCTTTTTTTTTTCTTTTTTTATTCTTTATATTGCACCAACAACAATCACAAGTTTATACAGGTAATTTCTAGGCAAGAATAGCATTTATGATGTGTAAGTAGTTGTGTATAACACTTGCTATAGGCGAACAGAAAGGAAAATAGAAAAAAATTCTAAAATAAAGGAAAGAAATATAGTCAAACAAAAAATAAAGGGGAAATCGTTCAGTAGATAAGAATCTGTGAAGGATGTGTAAGGTAAAGATTAAGTGCATGCAAAAAGGTATGAAGTAAAAAAAAAGTAGATTTCGAAAATTTGTGTGGGTGCGTGTGCGGGAAGGATGTTGAGTAAAATAATACAATTTCGAGTATTGAATGGAATATGCAACTCACAAGGATCTCGAAGGTTTCGCTTGGTTCAGTTGTTTGGATGGATTGGAGTGAAATGGAAATGGAAGATGTTAACACATGTATCAGGCTTTTGGGATATATCGTTATATACATCTAGTGGCAATAGGGGAAATTGGGGCAAGTGTGCGGACTAACACCGGCAGGATATTGACGTTCAGTCCAGCCAGGTAGGGGTGGAGCAGGAGCACCAGCAGCACCGGCATGCAAATCACAGAAAGGATAATTAGGGCAGGTATGAGGGCTAACACCGGCTGGAAATTTATCACCGCCAGCTGCAGGAGCGGGTGCACCCCAGGCGGGAGCAGGAGCATTCCAGGCGGGAGCAGGAGCTTGCCAATGAGGGGCACCCCATTGCGGTTGTGGTTGCCAGGCGGGGGCCGGTTGCCAACGAGCGGCAGGATTATGCAAACGCGCATTATCACAGATAGGGAAGCCAGGGCAGTCCTGAGGATTCACACCAGCCGGAAACTGAGCGGCAGCGGGCAAATGTTGTGGCTTCGCCAAAGCCATTGACATCAAACCAAAAAATACCTAAAGCAATTATTCAAAAAAGCATAGCACACATATACAGTTAGTCCTTTTTTGAACTCATCATTTTGCATTTGCCTTTTACTCACCAATTTTGTGAACATTTTGAAAATTTGTTTTTTATTTTGTTTTTTTCTTGCTGTTGTTGCTGTTGTTTTGTATGTAAATGAAATCCTTTTCTACTCGATGTCCAATTGAACTATAATCGCTATTGAGTCGTTAGTGATTAAACTTCCAATTGGTTTTGATTGTGGCAACCGACTGTCTTAAGTTCTGTTGATGTAGTTGACACTTATATACAATTTGTGAAGTAATTCTCTAACAATATAGCAATATAACGAGAGCTTAAATTTTAATGCACTCAATATTTACGAGCGTTAAGAACAAACCCGCAAGCATCTTATAATGAAACAAGAAAATGAAAAAAAAAAAAAAAAAAAAAAAAAAATGGGCGCTGCTGCGCTTATTAATATGCTCTCATTTCAATCTAAAGGTATGATCTTATGGCTCGATATTATTGTTGTATTGTTGTTGTATTCCAGTTTAACCACAAAAAAGAAAAATTTAACAACAACAACTCCAACAACAAGATAAAACACTTATAGTAGAATTTGTTACATTATTGTTTTATTAACATTATTATGCATACATTAGTTAGTGGTGGTAGTGATGGCGGTGATGGTGGTTGATGCTTGCTCTCTAGTGGTTGCATTTCATTGCGATTTGCAATATTTGGCTCCATGACTGATTACTTTTTTCTTTTTTTTTTCTTCGATAATACAGTTCTTTTTTTCTTTTCTTCTTTGATCATAGGTAAATGATTATTTATAAACACATGCATATATATATATATATATGTACATTCTTAAATACATATACAACCTACATGAAACTAAAACGAATTATGCATACGTCACACATTCATCTCCATATTTGTTGCATTACTTCACTTAAAAACTTAACCCATTAACAATTGTACCAAAATGCAATGCAATATGCAGGCATGAATAAATGCATGCACATTGTGCATACTTATCTACATATATACACTTGCATATCGATACCTCTACACATTTGTGTATACCTACTTACCATAAATAACTTACAGTATAATATTGGATAGATTGATATATACACATGCATATAAATACATATAGTAAATATAATATTTCAACATAATGCCACTCATTGCCTCTTATAACAACTTTCATTAAAGTATTGCACAGAATTAATACAACAACAACAACAAGAACAACAACGATAACAACAATAGCATAATTTAATAATAAAAAAAAAAAAAAAAAACAATTTAATACAAATGCATCATAGTTCTCTTGTCATTGTCTTATGGGTGGGTGGGGTCAACATATACAGGAAGGATCAAAAACGCTGACTTAAATTCTTTTACAATAAAAATGCATTTCAAGAACCGTAGATTGATTAAAGTTACACGCTTATTACATTCCATATAAATGCGCACTAGTTCTAGTCATTTTACAGCTTTGACCATATAATTATAAATTTACATCGAGGTTCTACAAATTGTACAAACACTTTGCAACTCCGTCTATTATATAAACAATGAAGTAGTTATTATATAATAATTTTGCAAAGAGAAATCGATGAAGGCCGCATTAGGGCAGTACTTTTAAGATGAGGTCAAATTATAAATATATTATGCTTACACCCTAAGAGCAGAGGCGGATTTAAAGGCGTCGCTGGAGATTCAAAATTTCGAAGGCTACCACAAATTTCCATTTCTCTTCCTCTTGTTTCTCAGGTGGTTTCCTTGTGGTACTGGGCATGTCCTGCAGCTTGTTTATGGCAACAGTGGACAATTTCAGCAAACACGCCACACTAATTACAACTTTTTAACACCCACCACTAACTTTTGTATACTTCATCTAAAATATATTGGGTGTAGCATGCATTTCAAATCATACCGGGATATATATGTATATATTTAAACACAAGATACGGGCAGTAGGTTGAGTTCCGCGACCGAATAGCACGGGCACTGGATCATACAAAGTCGTCTTGCTATCAATAAGATACGAAATGTTGTCCAAGTTGTACAAGCGACATGATTCGGTACCCGAAGTTGAACATGTGTCAGAAAAGTACGAGTAAGATGGGTTTCTATCCCAAAAGAGAGCTTCCACAAAGCCCACATAACATTTTTATTTGCGGCAAAACTATTCAAAATTAATTTCTGCAAATCTCACGCGATCTAGTCCTTTGAAATTGGAAATATGGTATCATTCAAAAGTATCCGTCAACGACTATTTGTTGCCAGTTTACTGCAAGCGATAGCCCGGAAAGTGTCTTTGCTCAACAAAGCTAATTTAACGAAAAGAGAATGCTTTTCTTTAGCCCATAAACAATGAATGCGTACTAGAGGGCGAAAAATTGTTCGAAAATATACTTTGGAGCGACGGAACAAAAATAATTTTATTTTCGCAATGATGCGGGCACAGTTGCCCGTCGGTGGAAATGGGAACAATTCCTTGTTAGATTTACTAAGAAAATACTGAAGCATGGCGGAAGAAATCTTATGCTATGAGGTTGCTTTTCTTGGAAATGTGTCAGCGCGATACATCTCCTCGAAAACATTATAGATAAAAACTCTTTCGAAACTCTAATGTTAGGTATGGAAATTTCAGCAAGCAAATGATCCGAAACATTCACCCAGTCTGGTAAAAACACAGCTCCGGAAGCCTAACTTGGATCACCAAGTCAGTCTCCCGACCTCAATCCTATTAAGGTCAGGTTTCGGAGCTTTCTTGCAACAATAAAAAACATTGCTGGAAAAGGATTCAGAAAGTATGACAGAGACTTGCCGTAAGTTAATTTTATGCACACCTAGAGCAATCGAAGCTGTCCTTAAAAACAATAGTGGATTTCTAATAAAATGATTTCCTTTAAACATAAAATTTTCAGCTGATCTTCAGTTTTTGCATATACACTTTCAATTTCACTATCTACCTACTCACATTCTTGAACTGAACTTCTTTTAAGTTTTTGTATATGCTTAACATAACTCTAAAGGCATTTTTGAATACATAAATGCTCCTACCACATAAATAAAAGGTAAATAAAAAATATAATAGCAGGTAAATGGAAGAGAGTACCCCTTTACCTTAATACAACCGCATATGCCTGATTTTCTGCCCACATGTGCGCTTGTTTACTACTGTGTAGATATAAATGAATGACAGGCGCAGTACTATTAGCCAACGAAACTTGAACTAAACCGATGGCCTAATTAGATGAAACGCTCAAGTTGAGATTAGCTACATGCAAAGGATAACTTGCGCCTGCCAGCCTGTAAAACTATTTCACAACACTTAGAGTACCAGGTATCAGAAATTGTGGTTGTTGAAAAGTGCTCAGTTATTCGGCATTAGCGGCATTTAGGCATTCATGTATTTGAATTATCTCTACATTGTGGATAGCCATTCATATTTTTTCTCCATAGACTTTCAATGTCCAAGGAGCACTACCGAAGCAGCTTAGCCAGGTAGCCAATTATAGTACTATTGCTCTAGTGCCCTTTATATCACATACAAGCACACCCACCCTCAGTTAAATCTTAGAATTTTAGAAGAACTGATTGCTTAGAAGGATGCAGGCAGACGACCTTCGTCACTCTCGATGGTTTCTCCAATGAGAGTTCCCTTTGCGGAGATGCTTTACTGCTCAAGCTGCATATTGTCACTGGGATTGGGTTCTCGAGAATTCGTGCGCCCCAAATGCCGTGCGAAAGAATAAAATGTAGTTCGTTCTGGAATAGAGATGGGATCGTGCCTATTGACATGTTAAAGGCACTTTCGATCAACGCATTGGGAAAATCCCAGATTCTTGTTAATTTTTGCATCAAAAAAAAAAAAGATTTAAAAAACAACCTTTTCGTCTCCGCACTTTATTCCATTTGGATATTAGTATATGCATGTACTTGCATTATAAATATATATATGTATAAATAAAGATATATGTAAGTATAGATATAAGTATGTACATAAGTATGCATATATACTTACATATGTTTATAATAGGTGATCGTTAATCATTCATAATGTCATTCATAATGACTTACATCTTTTCATATAACGACTTTTCAAAATAAATATGGGATGTGGTGGAGAAAGTGGTTCGAAGCAAAACACTTTCAATGGCGTTCCTCCTCGGGCCAGGATACGTCGGTGAACCAAATTCCATTAAAATATCTCCAAAAATTGCTACTTGTACCTTAAACACAATTATATGCACAGACCATAAAGAGACGGACGGACTTCTTGAGTCTGCTTATAAAGAAAATGTTTTTGGCTATTCAGCCATTTTTCATTAAGTGGTATTGCAATTACCGTAGAACGAAAATGTGCTAAGTCAAGTCAAAAAAGCTACGGACATTTGGTGAAGCTTTATTCTATAAGCTACGAGTTGAACGTGAATGCTTGAAATTCTTTTTATTGTCTCAAATTTCTTAAATAGAAAAATAACTACAGCTGCCTTAACTTTGTAAATTGGTAGGTGGAGTCATTTCGAAACGTTGTATTTCCGGCGCCCGCTGAGTTTGAATCTCAGATCTGTCGTGGTTTGCAACGCACTCCTTGGTTCCATTGGTAGTTTACAAATTGTCCAATAGAACGCGTCAATCGACATCAAACTTGTCCAAAATCGGTCAGGCACTTGGTGTTGTCAAACAATAACGTGGACATCGATTTTGTCCATTCTTCGCTTTGATGAACGCGTTGCTTGTTAATAACCACCTAATAAACACGGATAGCGCAGTTTATGTATTATCTGCTAGTGAAGCGCGCAACTAACTCAGTCAACTCATTTGTCTACGACAGTGACAGTAAAACTTTGTCTTTATTAGTAATTCTTATACCAGGCTTTCATTTCCATAATCTGAATAATTTTTGTTTACCCTACATCGCTGGTTGTACAAGGGCATATTAAATTTGTGCGGATGTAACGCCCGAACGGACTTGAGATAGACCCACCTTATAATACATCGAAACAAATAAGTCGAGAGGATGGAGACGGGGACGGTGAAAGTGATTCTAAATCCAACTAAGCTTGTCTGTCCGTCTGTCCATCTTCTTTTTTTTCAGAATCACTTTCTGAATCGATCTAAGCGTGTCTGTGCGTCTGTCCATCTCCTTTTTTTTACAGAATCACTTTCCGAATCGATCTAAGTTTATCTGTCCGTCTGTCCTTCTCCTTTTTTACAGAATCACTTTCCGAATCGATCTAATTTGTCTGTCCGTCTGTCTATCACGTTTC